CATATACAGGGCCGTCTGAAGTTTGCCAATGAACATCTGAATGATTCAGAGGAGAACTGCGTGAAAGTGTTGTGGTCAGATGAGACCAAAAGTGAGCTCTTTGGCATCAACTCAACTCGACGTGTTTGGAGGAGGAGGAATGCTGCCTATGACCCCAAGAACACCATCCCCACCGTCAAACATGGAGGTGGAAACATTATGCTTTGGGGGTGTTTTTCTGCTAAGGGGACAGGACAACTTCACCACATCAAAGGGATGATGGACGGGGCCATGTACCGTCAAATATTGGGTGATAACCTCCTTCCCTCAGCCAGGGCATTGAAAATGGGTCGTGGATGGGTATTCCAGCATTACAATGACCCAAAACACACGGCCAAGGCAACAAAGGAGTGGCTCAAGAAGAAGCACATTAAGGTCCTGGAGTGGTCTCCAGACCTTAATCCCATAGAAAATCTGTGGAGGGAGCTGAAGGTTCGAGTTGCCAAACGTCAGGCTCGAAACCTTAATGACTTGGAGAAGATCTGCAAAGATTAGTGGGACAAAATCCCTCCTGAGATGTGTGTAAACCTGGTGGCCAACTACAAGAAAAGTCTGACCTCTGTGATTGCCAACAAGGGTTTTGCCACCAAGTACTAAGTCATGTTTTGCAGAGGGGTCAAATACTTATTTCCCTCATTAAAATGCAAATCAATTTATAACATTTTTGACATGTGTTTTTCAGGATTATTCTGTCTCTCACTGTTCAAATAAACCTACCATTACAATTATAGACTGATCATGTCTTTGTCAGTGGGCAAACGTACAAAATCAGCAGGGGATCAAATACTTTTTTCCCTCACTGTATATACTGAGATCATGTGAAAGATCATGTGACACTTAGATTGCACACAGGTGGACTTTATTTAACTAATATAAAAAAATATCCGAAACTTTGAACATCCCACGGAGCACCATTAAATCCATAATAAAAAAAATTGAAAGAATATGGCACCACAACAAAGCTGCCAAGAGAGGGCTGCCCATCAAAACTCACGGACCAGGCAAGGAGGGCATTAATCAGAGAGGCAACAAAGAGACCAAAGATAACCCTGAAGGAGCTGCAAAGCTCCACAGCGGAGATTGGAGTATCTCTCAATAGGACCACTTTAAGCCGTACATTCCACAGAGCTGGGCTTTACGGAAGAGTGGCCAGAAAAAAGCCATTGTTTAAAGACAAAAATAAGCAAACACGTTTGGTGTTCGCCAAAAGGCATGTGGGAGACTCCCCAAACATATGGAAGAAGGTCAGATGAGACTAAAATTGAGCTTTTTGGCCATTAAGGAAAACGCTATGTCTGGCGCAAACCCGACACCTCTCATCACCCCGAGAACACCATCCTCACAGTGAAGCATGATGGTGGCAGCATCATGCTGTGTGATGTTTTTCATCGACAGGGACTGGGAAACTGGTCAGAATTGAAGGAATGATGGATGGCGCTAAATACAGGGCAATTCTTGAGCGAAACCTGTTTCAGTCTTCCAGAGATTTGAGACAGGGACGGAGGTTCACCTTCCAGCAGGACAATGACCCTAAGCATACTGCTAAAGCAACACTTGAGTGGTTTAAGGGGAATCATTTAAATGTCTTGGAATGGCCTAGTCAAAGCCCAGACCTCAATCCAATTGAGAATCTGTGGTATGACTTAAAGATTGCTGTACACCAGCGGAACCCATCCAACTTGAATGAGCTGGAGCAGTTTTGCCTTGAAGAATGGGCAAAAATGGCAACGGGGGTGAATAATTTCGCAAGCCACTGTAGCTAAAGCTAACCAACTAGGTTCAATGTTAGCTAGCTGGATTTCGGAGATGCAAATAATATTACTAGACAGATCATTCGTAACTTCAGCTAGCGAGCCAGTCAGCTAACTTTAGGTAGCTAGCTAACAGTATGCTTTCAATTGTAATGAAAACGACTTTCTGACTAAATTAGAAACTTATAATATCTGAAAATGTAGCTAGACTCTTACCCGTATACATAGACGAACACTTCTCCCTCTCTGCCATGGATGCCATGGTTGCCATTAGTTTGAAGATGTGATCTGGAGTCAGGTGTTTTATACAACAGCCTTCTGTGTTCTTTTATCGACTGTCTCCGCATTTGGCAATCATCTCTATGCTTCCACCGAGCATTCCATTGATTTCAAAACTCGGTCAACTTCTTCCATGACAACAACACTGTTGATCACCTTTTCTTCCCCATCACTGTCATCCCTACAATGTCTGGTTCAGTGAAAATGTTTTTACCTGAATCAGGGATTTCCTCATCGTCTGATTCATTTTCAGAGTCAGAGAGAGTCAGCATGGCATGATCGTCCTCCAGAAAGTAGTCCATCACAACTTCAGGGCAGCAATGTTGAGAGCAGTAGCAACACTTTTTCAGTTCTTCATGATATCTTTAAAAGAAAGCCACAGTAGAAAGGATGATCTACACATACTGAGGAGCTCATGTTATAGACAGAGGCGTGCTACATGGCAGACCAATCCGAACTCATCTCTAGGCATGTCCAGTAAATCCATTATCTCAGCCAATCATGGCTAGCGGGAAGTTTCCTGTATTTTTCCGTTGCTAAACCAACTAGGCTCGTAATTTAACAATTGTATTTGTATTTACAGATGGCATACATGTTTGTTATCAAGGCAGATGAAAGTTCACATGTTCCAGAAGGCATTTCTGTCAAAAAAAAAACGTTTAAAGGCCTCTCTTGTGACGTGCGAAATACGCCTAGCTTCTTGAAATGGGTCACAAATGCACTTAATCACTACCCTAATCTGTAGCCCCCCTCCCCTTTCCTCCTCTCTCTGGCTGTGCTGTGCTGTCAGCTGCTATTTTTATCAGGCATGTTTTTGGCACTGATAAACACCTTGGTGAAAACATTAGTTTGACAGTTGTCATAAACATGCGTTGAGTAACGACCTTCCTATGAAACCGTTTAATGATTCTGGCACCGCCCGAACGCCTGAGATGGAAATCACATTTTCCAGGCCTGGTTTGGGAGGGGGAGGTGTTTTGAGGGGACAGGACGCTAGTACGACGCTGTGTTTTCCCACCCTCAGGCTTCGGGGAGCGAGGGCCAGATGGGGGACGGGCAGGAGGAGAGAGAGAGGCTGCGCAGAGTGCTCAAACAGATGGGACGAATCAAGTGTCCTAGCGAGGTATGTACTCTCTCCTCCCACTGGGCACAGACGTCAGTTCAATGTGTAGTTTTGATTTACATTTGGTTGAGTTGTCAACTAATGTTAAATCAACAAAAAATGTCACAATGTCATTGGATCAGTATTCCACGTTAATTCAAATTTTATGGTTGAAATGACATGGAATCGACGTTGATTCAACCAGTTTTTGCACAGTGGGCTGTGCCCTTTCTTTCTTTCTTTCTCTTTCTTTCTTTCTTTCTTTCTTTCTTTCTTTCTTTCTTTCTTTCTTTCTTTCTTTCTTTCTTTCTTTCTTTCTTTCTTTCTTTCTTTCTTTCTTTCTTTCTTTCTTTCTTTCTTTCTTTCTTTCTTTCTTTCTTTCTTTCTTTCTTTCTTTCTTTCTTTCTTTCTTTCTTTCTTTCTTTCTCTTGCTATCGTCTCCAATTTTATTCACTCCTCTTCTCTATTTCTGCTGCACAACCCTCCATCTCCATTTACCCCTCTCTCGTTCTCTCTCTTTCTCACTTTCCTTTTTCGCTCCCTCCTCTCCTCTGTCTTTCTTGTTATTCTGCCCAAACACACATCAACACTCTGTTACCAATTCCTCACACTACAGTGCAGAGAGGGGAAGAGGCAGGGGTGCAGAGACAGAGACATTTACAATAACCTCTCTTCATCCATGGACATGGTTCAATCTTTCCTCCACTTCTATCTCATTCTTATGTCAAACAACCACAAAAAATGGTTGGCCATCTCTCTTGAGAAAAATATGTTTATGTTAATTAGACTATATAAAAAGGTTAGATGAATAATACATAGACAAAATGTGATGGTTGTGTTCGTTAGACAAATCCATACTCCGCTCCACTAACCTGATTTCTAGTCTATTGTGAATGTTTTTATTTCTCCCTTTTTAAATGTTGCGCACGCACGCACACACACACACACACACACACAGGGCTGCTCGGCCCATTTCTCCAGTCTGATGGGATACCAGTACCATCAGAAGCGCTGTGGCAGAGAGCTATCAGAGGAGGACAAGCCTGTGTTCCTGTGTCAGCACTGTGGGAAGAGTTACCGCTCTAAGTCTGGCAGAGACTACCACCTCCGCACCGAACACCCCACCACCACCACTAACAACAATACCAACAATATCAACAATACCTCCGGCAGAGGGGTAAGAGAGAGCTGAACGTTGTTTACTATTAAACTATTATGACTAGTGTGTCTTGACATGTCATATATACTGTTAATTATGGAAATTAGTTACATCTGGTTCGTTCAGCCATTCCTATGGCGGACATTTATGGGGAAAAATTGGGTTTTGGGATCAACGCCGAAAATAAGGTCAGAGGTTAACACAGGCTTAGGAGATCTTATACGTTTTGTTCTGTGAGATAATGTCAGATCTTTATGAATTATGAAGCCGTTATGTGCTTTATGTGCTTTGATTACATAAATGCTTCAAAATTCACAAAAAGTGACGTTATCTGATGAAGATTATCTCATAGAACAAAACATCTCCTAAGCCTGTGTTTACCACAGACCTTATTTTCTGCATTTATCCCAAAAACACTTTTTTTTTAAAACATTAATTTCCTCACAGGCTTAGGCCGACAAGCCATGGCGGAGTTATGCCTACAAAAAGACGCCGTTACTATTGCTCTCTATTCCCTATCCTCTCGTCCTTTATTACACCCATAGTCATTGGTTGAATCGCTGTGAATCCTTTCCTCATTGGTCTCTGACTGGGCTGTGTCCCTCCTCTCCTCCAGGTGACAACAGAGGAGTCACAGCCACAGCCTGCAGGAAGGAGGGAACAGAACCACATGGAGAGAGAGAGGAAGAAAAAAGAGAAGTGGCAGGGGTTGTCTGCGGGTAGGGAGAAGGAGAGAGAGAGGGATGGGAGAAAGAGGGAGAGAGAGTGGGGTGGGGAGAGAGAGGGGCTGGGGGAGGACTTTGAGAGGACTCCTAGTGGTAGGGTGAGACGTCAGTCTGCTCAGGTAGCAGTGTTCCACCTGCAGGAGATAGCAGAGGATGAACTGGCCAAGGACTGGGGCACAAAGCGTCGCATCAAAGATGACCTGGTACCGGACAGCAAGAGGGTAAGATACAGACACGTACACTCACAAACACACACACACACACACACACACACTTAACATGTCGTCCGTCTTCCTCCCCCAGTTGAACTACACTCGTCCTGGCCTTCCCAAGTTCAGTCCCAAGCTGCTGGAGAGCTGGAAGAATGAGGTCAAAGAGAAGGGCTTCATCTGCTGCTCCAACGGAGTAAGAACCTCTGGACAACATGTTCTGTACATTAAACCCCTCTCAGATAACTCCTGTATTTTAAATAGTCCAGTTGCTGTTATTCATTTCAGCGCTGTCAATTCAGAGCTCAACAGTCTCTAAAAATGAACAAGTTCATGTTTTATAGGCAGAGTTTGTTCCTCTCTGTTTTTAGAGCTGTGAAGCTGTTTACTCCAGTGTGTCCGGACTCAAAGCTCATCTAGCCAACTGTAACCAGGTAGGACCATCAGGACCAGTATAATTTAAATGGATGAGAAAATATCTGACCCTGTATCACCTTGTTGGGTTTAGGGACAACTTCTACCTACACTTGACTGGGGTGTGTTTCTGTGTGCTCCAGGCAGGGGGCGATGCAGGGAAGTACACCTGCTTACTGTGCCAGAAGGAATTCAGCTCAGAGAGTGGTGTCAAGTACCATATCAGCAAGACACACTCACAGGTGAGACGAACATACATAAACACTCACTTACAGATAGGCCTGATATACACACTCATTTATACACACATTTTAAAACACACAGGTGGATGTCATACACTTGCAATAACATGCAGTTTAATGTTTTTCCCTCAACATTACCATACGTTACAGAACTGGTTCCGAGCCTCCAGCCACATGGTGCCCAGCAGCAGCATCAGCAGCAAGAGCAAACCGTCAGAGCACCAAGGGATAGAGAAAACTGAGGTTAAGAACGGAGCCACCATGGGAAAGAAGAGAGGCCGCAAGCCCAAAGAGCGCCCCCCTGAGGCCACCCCCGTCCAAACAAATACTATTTTCAGCACCACCCAAAACTCAGCCCCCACCCCGAACCCAACCTCAGCCCCCACCCCGAACATGGCCCAGGCCAAGACCCCGGTCCCGACAGAGAGGGGGAACACAGGGAGCCTGACACTAAACAGACAGCCCAACCCACCCACCACACGGAGGAGTAAGCCCAAGTGGGTGCCCCCTCCCTCAGAGTAGCTCTGACTAACCCAAGAGCCAGAGAGGAAGCTATCTATGTCTATCTATATCTATCCACATTACGCCAGTAAGCTCAAGGACGTTTTGGATGCCTCAAGGACTGGGGGACAGAGAACGAAACTAAAAACAACTGCACTCTGATCTTTGTGTTTCAACCTTAAATATACTGTATACGGTTTGTGTCTACTGGTATATGTTGATATAACAGTCATTTGCATTTTGTTTCCTCCATTCCATTTCTAAGCATCGTTTCAGTTAAACTATTGACAACAGCGGTTAATTGTAATCAAAGTTATAATCCCGCTCTATGTATAAATAGCATTTTCTAAACAAAAGTAGTATTTCTAATTAATGTTGGCATATTCCCTCTATATGTCTTTAGATTCATGTTGTGTTTGAGAGATTTTTCAAAGGATATTCTATTAGGATGGTGAGGTACTGCTAGTGATTTTTTTTACGGATAAACTGTACTGTGTATATATAAAATATCTCTATATATAGAGAGAGATATATACATACTCAAAGCAATGACGTCATCACTCTTTTTTTCAAGGCAGGAAGGTCAAATTTGGTCTAAAGCGATCACACTCATTTGCATTTTTGTTGTTTTTCATTTTGGCGTCTTTTGTTTTTTTATTGTGGCAGAAGAATGTCGAGGTAGAGAGGTTTTTTTTTATCAGTCTGCTTCAGTGCAATATGCTAATTAGTTTTTGTCTCTTTCTTTGTTTTGTTTGGCTTTCTTTCGACGGCCCAAAGTAGTGAAAGACCACACTGTAACACATACATCATATTCTTTCCTGTGTTCTTATGCTGTGGCTAAGCTACGTAGTTATAGTCTTTGTTGCATTTACACTGAAATGTAGGAAGTTAGCACCATTTTCACAAAATGATATGAGATTTTATCGAATTTTAGAGACAGTGATTAGACCTTGGGGCATATGATTGGGGATGTTAACGCAAACATTTCCACACTCAAATCTATATCTACACCCAAGCAATGTAAACAGCATATCCACAAAGTTTGAAGATGTGTAGATTTTGTTTTAATATAGGTTTTCACTGCTAATGTTACAGATTAAGGCCTAAATGCTGAATCTAACAATGGGAAAGTACTTGTAGTTGCAACATTGCAGCACAATCAAATTAGTTTGGGAGTGGGGAGGGGAAAACTGAAAACTAGCTGTTATTGGCAGAGAGGTTTGGAACTCTCTTTGTTAGTGGTCTATTAACCAATTTACCACCTGGTGATGTCACCAGGCAAGCCAAAAACCCCACCCATGCAAACCTGCTGATTAAAAGGTTGTGTGTAGATTGCATTTTCAACCAGCAACTATCAGGAAATAACACTGATCAAATGTTTTCACACTTTTACAGTGTTAGTTTCATCAGCTGTTGTACAATTTGATACAAAACACAGGAAGAAGTGAATTTTGACTGCACTGGGCCTTTAAATAATTCAGAAAAGGGAGCTGCAGTCGACTTTTTATATAAAAGTTTAAGTTAGTTTGAAGAGAATAATCTTTTATGAAACAAAAATAAAAATAAACGTCAAATGAAGGTTTAGATGTTGTTATGTATAAGGACCTATTCCCGGTCACTAAAACACTTGTCTTGCACTTTAACCCTAACCCCTTTCCTCTCTTCCCCCCTGTTTTGTATTTTTGCACTTGAAGAGCACTGCAAATGTTTTGGCCCAACCTTAACGCTCCAGGAAGAAGTTGCCCTTAGACACAGATTTAGAATCAGCAGCCCTGCCTAAATTTTAACCTTAAGAATTATGGGTAAACACACAAAACTGACCATAGATCAGCTTCTAAGGGGCAGCTTCACCCTACTCTAACCTAAACCTCCTATATGGAGGGTTGTAACCCAGGACTGAAAATGAAACAATGTGGTGTCCAGAAATAAGTACATTTAGATCTCTGTGCCCCACTTTCCGACCAGATTCAATGAGAAGATAACGGGGCCACCTCAGTCAATTCAAAACCCTAACTAAGCCATAACTGATCCTCAGAAATGCTAAACATTTTAGGCTGTTCTGCCAGTGAACTATTTTAGTGTAAATGGGAATTAAGTCTGAAGTAAATGTCTTTTTGAAAATGCTAATGTGCAATCAGATAATTTTAATATTTTATCTATAATAAAGACTTAAAGTAGATACTTGAATTCACAATAATTGTAATCATTTGATTTAAGTAACATTTCATAAAATGGTTAATGTATATTTATATCAATAGAGCAGAATAGCTTGCTCTCTCAAAGCGGCAGATCTATTTTATAATCACTTGTGTATATTATCTAGTTAATCTGAAAAGTGGGAGTTTGTGAAAAGTTTATGGTTATATGGTGCAATTCAGTCTGCTTGTTCATCCAGCACAGTTTTTCCAAAAATGTTATTACTTTACAGTATGTCCTACAAATACAGGTGCTAAACTCATACTGTAATGCAACGAATCTTAACCATTAAATAAAAAACAAAAAAAAGAATGATATTTTTTGATTATTTTGTGTACTTCATGTTAGGATTCGGCCCAATATCACCATTGCAATTTTAATTAGATTTTTTAAATGTCATCCTACATTGGTTGAATTCATAATTGTCTACTTGGAATGATGGGAGTTCTTTAAAGAAGGAGTGTAGCATTCAATCATTACACATTACATTGCATTACGATTGAATACCTGCCCTTATCGTTGTATTCACGTTTGATAGGTGAACTACAAAGGATAAATAGACAAGCACTGATGGATACCTTTTGCACTTTTCAATACAGTTCTTCAGACCTTGGCCCTTGGCTCTGGTCTAGCGACTAGGCTTTTGTATATAGGGAGAATGAGAACCTTGGCTGGAATTGCAATTACACATATCTGCAATGCAGTTTAACAGAGGCTTTGCAGAAAAATGCTACAGGCTACAAATGACTTCCCTTCATAATGAGAGAGAGTCAAGAACGGTTACTAGTTGAGCGTCGAGTTTTGGCACAGTATCAATTATTAGTTGCTTGTTGATTGTTTGATTGATTACATCATATTGACTGCTATTGTTTACCTGAAAAGCTTTGGTGTTTGCAATGTAATAGTTTAGCACTGCTTACCATGGTGGATATTATTACATACAGTGCATTCGGAAGGTATTCATACCCCTTGACTTTTTCCACATGTTGTTACATTACAGTCTTATTCTAAAATGGATTCAATTGTTTTTTTTCCCCCTCATCAATCTACACACAATACCCCATAATGACAAAGCAAAAACAGGTTTTTAGACATTTATAGAAATGTATAATATAAAACAAATGTAAATATCACATTTACATAAATATTCAGACCCTTTACTCATTACTTTGTTGAAGCACCTTTGGCAGTGATTACAGCCTCAAGTCTTCTTTGGTATGACGCTACAAGCTTGGCACACCTGTATTTGGGGAGTTTCTCCCATTCTTCTCTGCAGATCCTCTCAAGCTCTGTCAGGTTGGATGGGGAGTGTCGCTGCACAGCTATTTTCAGGTCTCTCCAGAGATGTTCGATCGGATTCAAGTCCGGGCTGTGGCTGGGCCACTCAAGAACATTCAGAGGATTGTCCCGAAGCCACTCCTGTGTTGTCTTGGCTGTGTGCTTAGGGTCGTTGTCCTGGTGGAAGGTGAACCTTTGCCCCAGTCTGAGGTCCTGAGCGCTCTGGAGCAGGTTTTCATCAAAGATCTCTATACTTTTCTCCGTTCATCTTTCCCTCGATCCTGACTAGTCTCCCAGTCCCTGCCGCTGAAAAACATCCCCACAGCATGATTCTGCCACCACCATGCTTCACCGTAGGGATGGTGCCAGGTTTCCTCCAGACGTGACGCTTGGTATTCAGGCCAAAGAGTTCAATCTTGGTTTCATCAGACCAGAGAACCTTGTTTCTCATGGTCTGAGAGTCCTTTAGGTGCCTTTTGGCAAACTCCCAAGTGGGCTGTCATGTACCTTTTACTGAGGAGTGGCTTCCGTCTGATGGAGGCCACTGTGTTCTTGGGGACCTTCAATGCTGCAGACATTTTTTGGTAACCTTCCCCAGATCTGTGCCTCGACACAATCCTGTCTCGGAGCTCTACGGACAATTCCTTCGACCTCATGGCTTGTTTTTTTCTCTGACTTGCGCTGTCAACTGTGGGACCTTATATAGACAGATGTGTGCCTTTCCAAATCATGTCCAATCAGTTGAATTTACCACAGGTGGACTCCAGTCAAGTTGAAGAAACATCTCAAGGATGATCAATGGAAACAGGATGCATCTGAGCTCAATTTCGAGTCTCATAGCAAAGAGCCTGAATACTTATGTAAATAAGGTATTTCTAAAAACCTGTTTCCGCTTTGTCATTATGGGGTATTGTGTGTAGATTGATGAGGATTTTTATTTTTTTAATCAATTTTTAGAATAAGGCTGTAACGTAACAAAATGTGGAAAAAGTCAAGGGGTCTGAATACTTTCGGAAGGCGCTGTGTGTGTATATACAGTACCAGTCAAAAATGTGGACACACCTACACATTCCAGGGTTTTTCATTATGTTTACTATTTTCTACATTGTAGAATAATAGTGAAGACATCAAAACTATGAAATAACACATATGGAATCATGTAGTAACCAAAACAGTGTTAAACAAATTAAAATATATTTTATCTTTGAGATTCTTCAAAGTAGCCACCCTTTGCCTTGATGACACCTTTGCTCTTGGCATTCTCTCAACCAGCTTCACCTGGAATGCTTTTCCAACAGTCTTGAAAGAGTTCCCACATATGCTGAGCACTTCTTGGCTGCTTTTCCTTTAATCTGCTGTCCAACTCATCCCAAACCATCTCAATTGGGTTGAGGTCAGTTGATTGTGGAGGCGAGGTCATCTGATGCAGCACTCCATCACTCTCCTTCTTGGTCAAATAGCACTTATAGAGCCTGGAGGTGTGTTGGGTCATTGTCCTGTTGAAAAACTAATGATAGTCCCACTAAGCGCAAACCAGATGGGATGGCGTATCGCTGCAGAATGCTGTGGTAGCCATGCTGGGTAAGTGTGCCTTGAATTCGAAATAAATCACAGACAGTGTCACCAGCAAAGCACCCCCACACCATCACACCTCCTCCTCCATGCTTCACGGTGAGAACCACACATGCAGAGATCATCCATTCACATACTCTGCGTCTCACAAAGACACAGCGGTTGGAACCAGAAATCTAAAATTTGGACTCATCAGACCAAAGGACAGATTTCCACCGGTCTAATGTACATTGCTCGTGTTTCTTAGCCCAAGCAAGTCTCTTCTTCGTATTGTTGTCCTTTAGTGGTTTCTTTGCAGCAATTCGACCGTTAAGGCCTGATTCACGCAGTCTCCTCTGAACACTTGATGTTGAGATGTGTCTGTTACTTGAACTCTGTGAAGCATTTATTTGGGCTGCAATTTCTGAGGCTGGTAACTCTAATGAATGTATTCTCTGCAGCAGAGGTAACTCTGGGTCTTCCTTTCCTGTGGCGGTCCTCATGAGAGCCAGTTTCATCATAGTGCTCGCTGGTTTTTGCGACTGCACTTGAAGAAACTTTCAAAGTTGTTGAAATTGTCCAGATTGACTGACCTTCATGTCTTAAAGTAATGAAGGACTGTTGTTTCTCTTTGTTTATTTGAGCTGTTCTTGCCATAATATGGACTTGTTCTTTTACCAAATAGGGCTATCTTCTGTACACCACCCCTACCTTGTCACAACACAACTGATTGGCTTAAATGCATTAAGAAGGAAATAAATTCCACAAATTAACTTTTAACAAGGCACACCTGTTAATTGAAATGCATTCCAGGTGACTACCTCATGAAGCTGGTTGAGAGAATGCCAACAGTGTGCAAAGTTGTCATCAAGGCAAAGGGTGGCTACTTTGAAGAATCTCAAATATAAAATACATTTTGATTTGTTTAAAACTTTTTTGATCTCTTCACTATTATTCTACAATGTAGAAAATAGTAAAAATAAAGAAAAACCCTGGAATGAGTGTCCAAACTTTTGACTGGTACTGTATACAGTTGAAGTCAGAAGTTTACATACACCTTAGCCAAATACATTTAAACTCAGTTTTTCACAATTCCTGACATTTAATACTAATAAAAATTCCCTGTCTTAGGTCAGTTAGGATCACCACTTTATTTTAAGAATGTGAAA